ATCAATACCAACGATAATGATCCTCAAATCTCTGTTAAAGTTATCACGTTGCTCTCATGTGTCTAACTTTGCGAAGTTGGATTTGTTTTCCAACTTGAACCGATGCTCTAAAATTTGAAGTGAGACATACTCACGTAAGTCATGCCAAAATTCAAAGGATTTACACAATTTTCATCATTGAGGACAAATCGTGCAACTATAATGAATGATTGAAAACTAACTTGCTTATTAGAAAAATTATCTTGAAACTAACATGAAACCAATTTTGCAAGAATGCACAAACCTCCATTAAAAATGGAGATTCAACAGCAAGATTGATGAAGCCCAAGTTTGGCCCCCATTCTCTAAAATTCATTTTCTTCTCAAACTCATTTTTTATCATACATTTCACGAAACTCACAACTTTTCAACTCCATTTTTAACCAAATTTTATCAAAAATTTACTAAAAAGAACAACTCAAAAATACTGGCTTAAATGTGAAAAGGCAGGCACAGCTGAAATTCTACTAAATCTAACTGGAAATCCAATAAAGTTAAAAGGAATCGAGGGGCAGATTTTTGGGTGGCACTACACAAACTTAACATTGATTCTACTGTCTCAGTTCAAGGAGTAAAGATGAATTTTCATGGCACAATCTAGACAAGGTTGATGTAACACCCCAAATCTAGATACCTAGATTCAGAAGTCTTATCATTTAATTTTTTTCTTAAAACCAGAAATGCGGAATATTGATTATAAAATTTTTCTTTAACATAAAAATATTCACGACTTTCATTTAAGGAAAGAATTTTAGAAAACTTTTATATTTAAAAATATAGGATGATCAAATTAAATGTTAAACTTATTTCAACTTGAGTCAACACTAAATGTACTAGTATCGAGTCTGTCTCACCACAAATAGTCGTCTCAAATTATATTGTCTTCATCATCTGAAAATAGGAAGGGATAATGTAGGATAAGCTAACGCTTAGTAAGCAAACCTCATGTCCATGATTCATGCTTATGATATGCATATGAATTATTACAATAAAATAGAAGGCATTTCTCAATATGTATTGCCTTCTTTTCATTTCTTTAAAAACTTACCATTGACGTCGTGAGCTCATTTGGTGTCACCTAGCCAATCAAAATGTAGTGGGTAATTATTATTTGGAACCAGGTCGAGTCCTACCGATAGTACCACAAAGCGGTTAACATTAACATTGTCATTAAACATTGGTCGGGTGCGCCGATCCCTCACGCTCTATTTCTCACTCACACTTTTCATGGCATAGACATACACCTCATAATAAAAACATTCAGGATATATATCTTTAAAAAAAACATTCATTAACTCATGACATTTGAAAATTTTTTATTCCTTAAAATTTCATATATGCTTATGGATGCATTGACGTGTATGAATATATCATGAAGAGCATTAATAACATAAAAATTAATAATCAAATATCAAGATCACGTAATAACAGATTTTGGTAATATATTTATACGTTTAATAATGTAATGTGCCCTAGAATATTATGGGAGAATTACTTACGTGGAATCCTTAACAATTTTATTTTAGAGTGAGAAGTGGAGATGTCCTTAACCGCCCATGAGATCTACGTGCTAATAATCCAAGGTGGTTATCATACATTTAAAAATTTCAAGAATATTCATTCTTGACAATTAATCCTTATTCTAATATAAAATAGTTATTCTTGTTAGAACCGAGCGTGTAAAATAAAAAGTGCTCAAAATCACAAGGAGATTTTGAAGCAAAGCTTGTTGTCAAAATCACTCGACTCATAAAGGTCGTACCTATTATTATTTTATTTTTTTTTATTTTTTAGAATATAATTACGTTTTTTACTGTGCTATTGAAGGGATGTCAATCTAAAGGCTTTTTGACATAATGCAATAATATGATCTCATATGGTACTTAATACAATAAATTATGTAAATAAAGAATATTAATAGTTGAAACTAGATTTTTAATGAAGAAACAAAGTGCCCCTTTTTGTTTTCTTTTCTCAATTGATAAGGCAGTTAACTTCTAAATTTCATAACCCAAACTAAGAGAAAACTGAAAATTGGGTGTAAATAAATAATAAAATTACTGACAAATGCAACTCATGATTTTCAGACAAAGAGAATGCTACGATTACAAATAAATCAAACCACACTTTATATATATTCTCATGTGAATAAAAGTTTCACTCATTTAACCATTCATTTGGAGAATAAATGTCTAGATTTTAATTAAGCGAAACCCAAGAAACCAATAGTAATTAAATTGAACTTATACTTAAATGGATTTGCATTAATCCTTAAGTTGTATGTTGAATGAGGGCACATATACACATATACACGCTGCAAATACGTGTGCTTGACAAAAACTGAATTGGTCAATTAATTCAATGATCCAAACATAATTTGTAAAGGCATCAAGATAATTTGATGATAAGATGATAACACAAAATAAAATTGAAAATCATATTACCACGTGTGTTAAAATCCCCAGCTAAAGAAGATAAAGTAAAAGAAGAGGGGTAATGCTACGTGTACATAATCGTTTACATAGTGTGGGCCTCGCTCCATATGAGGAAGTGTAATACTGTGTGTATACCTTGAGATGTACACATAGCATTATTCAAAGAAGAATATATGTAACATGTATAAAAGGCTCAACATTAATTTTGATGTGAATGAGTAAATAAAGATTTATTTCCTTTAAAAGTGCATCAACAAATCTCTAATTGTAATTTTAAAGCATAAATTATGGAAATGTTGCTTCCATTTAGGGCCAAATTCCCATCATTTGACTTAATTTACTTCATAGCTTGGTTCATAACTATTTAATTTAATTAACAGGCACGTCATCTAGGTTGGTCAAGGCACATTTCACTGTAAAATAAATTAATCACGAGAAATATAAATGTGATAACTACTCGTCAATTGGACAAATGATGCTATCATAACAACTTAGGATGGTCTAATGCAGTAATCATTAGTTCACAATAAAATGTTATAATTTAACATTTAATGTTGGGAAAATTGCAGCATCGGTCCCAAACCTTTCATTTCACTACAGATTACACCCAAACCTTTAATTTTTGCGATCGAAGTCCCAAACCTTTATATGTAATTGCAGTGTTGGTCCATTTCACGCATTCTATCCAAATTGCCTTCGGTCAATAGAAAAATCTACATTTTGACTCCAATGGAACATTACTTCATGGGTAAAATTGTCAAAAGCAAATCTTCCAGTCACAGTCACAGCCACAGCCTTCGTAGTAAAAGAAAAGGGCATCTACATAGACTAACAAACCTGTTGGAAAGAAAAAGTCCAAGGGGAAAGGCACAAATTGATGAAAGTGAAGTGAAGTAATACTAGTACTGAAAAATTTATTGTTTGTTTTTGGGGAATGGCTGAAAAAACTAATGTAATTAGTCAATGTGGATTTTGTTTGATGTTTGATACCGTATGATTTAATGTGTTTTGTTTTTGGGGAATGACTGAAAATGTCTTTTTGTTGCTAAAGACAATGGTTTTTAGGTATATATTGCAGTGTTGATACCTTGTTGATTACTTGTATTCTTTTTTCTTTTTTATTTTTTTATTTTTTTTGTCATCACAACTATATTCAGAAGTCAACAATTGGGACCTCTGTTGCATTTTTGGACAAACGTTTGGGACCTATGTTGAGTAATTCTATATAGGTTTAGGACATGTGCTAATGTAGTTACAAAATGTTTGGGACCAATACTATGCCAAGTACAAAAGGTTTGGTACCTGTACTGCACCATCAACAAATGTTTTGGGATTTTTGCTGCATTTATAATTAATTCGAACCAGGCATACCACTGGCAAAGCAAATTATTAAGTTAACCACGTACTTCATTACGTACTTAATATTGGGCTCCCAAATATGGAAAATACAGCCATCAAAACAACAAATCCAAAACACTAAACATCCATTACTACAGACAGCATACAAGGAATCTAACAATAACACAAACATAGATCTAGCTACAGATCCAAGTTACAACAACCCCTATCACAAATCCTAATATCCGATTTCTCCACACATAATTTCCCGTTGATCGAAGGGTCCGGATTTCAGCTTCCATCTCATTCCTTACTCGAAGAAAAGTAGGAATCAACTCCTTCGACCTCTTGCACATTGGTGGGTCGAACCAAGCAAAGAAGTTACATCCCTCCACATTTTCACTGTGTGAATAAGTCAGAAATTGCCTTCTTGGATTCAACTTGGTACAGGAGGTCTTCATCTGGAGAGGGTTTCCACATCTACACACGTTCAATTCCATGGTTGTCATCTGAAATGTAAAAGAGAGAGAGTAAGGCAAGGATATAAAAAGGGAGGGAGGGAAACGTGATTTGTTGTTGGGTAGTGGAATATTCACTTTTGACCATTTTATCCATGAAATAACGTTCCATTGGAGTCAAAATGTAGATTTTCCTGTTGACTGACGAAAATTTGGACAGAATGCGTGAAATGGACCAATGCTGCAATTACATATAAAGGTTTGGGACTCCGGTCTCAAAAAATAAAGGTTTGGATGTAATCTGCAGTGAAATGAAAGGTTTGGGATCGGGGTTGCCATTTTCCCTTCAATGTATATAAAAACTACTAGCCCTTTTTTATTCCCATTTTGGGGTAAAAAATGCATTTTGAATAGTAAATTGATGGAGTATGTGTTGTTAAAAATTAAGAAAAAGTTTTGAATTTACATTTAATATTTTATTATCGAAGAATGTGTGGTTAAAAATAAGTTCAAAAAATTTGAATTTTTAGAAGAATGAAGCTCAAACAAGGGCTTAATTACATTATGTTTATGAAACTGAAGTAGTGTTGCATTACAGTTGATCTGAAGGACGTGATGGGAAACTATACATAGGCGGTCGAGATTATACATATGTTGGAGCGTACAAGATTAATACATGCGCCTAATTCCGGTACACACTTAAAATCGAGATTCATAGAAATAGTCAACATAAGAAATAAAAGCCTTAGAATATACCATATTAATTTCAAGTTTTCATCGAAGAGAACATGTACAAGAAAAATATGCAGCTTCATCTTTACTTTCTACAGCATTCTAAAGGCCAAAATTCAAGAAAATAACAAGTACTGGGAGATAGAGCAAATGCTCAATGACCCTTTTTGGCTTTTTAAACATACTAATTGTTATCCATAAGTTTTAAATAAACACAAAATATTGCCATGCAACCTCTGTATTAGATTCTGTAATGTGTTGTTTCTGCCTCATTTCATTGAACCGTTAAGAGAGAGCTTTCCTGGTTTACTTCCACCTGCTAAAAACAATCGTCCAATGTTCTATTAGTCACAGTTGTGTTCTATTCGTTACACTCAAACTACAAAATCATCCAGGGGACTGAAAATAGAACTTACGGGATAACATTGGGATTTCAGAGCTTTTCAGTACTCGCAGCCTCTTCACTGTTGATACAAACATGCTGCGAGCAAAACATACGAAAAGGATTGTTTTTAAGCAGTCTAATTCCATTGAAAACCAAGTCATGAAGTTCCAAGTGAACTTGATAGTAATAAGCACTCTCAAGTGATGTTTTTGCATGACGGAAAGAATGTTTTGGCACTTCTGAGAATGATGACTTTGAATTGTTTAGCTATCGAAAGTAGTAAATTTCTTGAGTATGTTTTAAATAATAAACATGCAGAAAAAAAGGGGGGGGGGGGGGGGGGGGGGGGGAATTTTGAAAAAAAAAAAAAAAAAAAAAAGGGAATTTAGGAAACAAAAGAATAAGCAAATCTGCCATCCCTTCTAATCTCAAAGCCTCATAACCAAGTGGCAGAATATTAAAAATAACAAGACAAAAATAAACTGCATCAGATCCAAGGAGGTAAGATGCTTACTCCCAAGGGACATCCCCAACAAGCATCTTGTCCCCTTCATTATCTTCATAAACAAGGGTATATTCCCCACTTCCATCCAATAAACCACTTATCGCTTTCTGTCCCTCTTCCTCGTTTTTGATACAATTGGTTGAAGAATCACTTTGAGCTACGCAGATAAATGAAAAACAACGTGAACCAGTAAGAATTTTTTACCCAAAGATGCATCCATTTTTAGATTTAGAGCATGTTTGACTAAGCCAACAAAAAGAAAAGATACTTTTAAGTGGATAACGTATTCTTTTCTAACTTCTATGTCACATTCTTCAAAAGTAACTCTTCAAAGGTATTTTTACTCGTAAGTATATTTACTAAAGCGAACTTTTTAAGCTTAGTTAAACATACTTAATCAGAAAAGCTAAACACGTATGCTACACATAAATCATCATGTACTAGACAAGATGTGGTTGTATTTTAACTTTGTACACGAATAGAATTGATTGAGTTATGATGATCATACAACTCTTGCTCGATAAAAGCAGAATTAAAAGTCTTGTGCTGTATAATAACCTGCAAGAAGGCCTCTGAAGAGTTCATCAACAGCAGAGGAAAGCTTGTCATAGCTATCGTTCGCTTTAAGATCCACTTTCCTTCCAATTGGAACACCATCCATGTTTATCTTCACAAACTTACTTTTAGGGCAACTTTCAATAGGTTTTTTGCTGAAATCTTTGTTGGGGACCACACTCTGTGACTCAGAGGATAATTTAGAAGAATTGCCATTTGCAAGATTCTTCCTAGATGAACGAACAGGAGGCCATCCCACCACGGGAGCAGGAGCGGTTCTATTGTTTATTACAAATGTAACACCACAAAGGCAGATTAAAAATGAAAAACAAGTTTAGTGTAAAGTAATTAATTATTCAAAAGGTTTGCTTTAGGCCAACGAAAAATTACACTAAACTCTGCATATCAAAATCTAGCTTCCTAAATTATCAAGAACCAATACAGGTGATGATGTCACGTCAAATTGACTCAATAACACGATGGATTTTTCCATAAAAATTGATCAAATGGATGAATGCACATAAAATAAGAATAATTTTTCGTTTTGCTTTCCATTGTTATCTTGCTCTCAGTAAGTTATGGGGATAATTTTTAGGGATCCAAGTAGGATCAACCAAATTATATATACAGGAAGGAGTGTCTAATTTGAAATTTAACTACATAAACCATTTACTGAAGTTAAGCAGAGGCAACAATAAATGACTAGTTATTACCATATTAACCAAAAATTCACAGGGTAACAGCATAGGACAAATACATGATAGAGAAGCAGGCAAACATACAAGAATCTAAAATTTATTCTCAGTTTAATTTACATCTACAAGCATGAAGCAGGGATGGGAAATTCTGGGAGTTGTGCTGCTATTCAAATATTTGTTTGTTCTGCTTAAAACAAGAAAAAAAATAAAGAAAAAGCTGAGGTACCTTTTCTGAGCACTGCCGCTGTTAGGCACAGCTGTATTTGCAGGTGAAAATGCCTTCTTTTCTGCATCCTGCAACTCTACTGTTCTACATGATTCCTTCCCCATAAGGGGATAAACTGTGCCCTTTGTTTGGTGTTTCCATGGAGTGGTGTTAGTAAAGTAGCCAAAGGGGAGAGGAGATTCATTTTTGGGACCATTAACTTGTTTGATGGTCCAATCTCCCCCGGGTGGACCAAGTCGGAGCTCAAGCTTTTTCTCCTCTGAAAGTCCATGGCTTGTTTCTTCTGCACTTTTCACTTGCCACTCTTCTTTTGGAATCAAATCCAGTAACTGAGGACATCCCATAACTTTTCTTGAATAACCCTCCATTTTTTTTTATTTTTTATTTTTTGAATTAAAGCAGTCTCTCTTCCAAGTTTTAGCTTAGGGATCAGTAATCAAATACGAAGTTCTTGCTGCAAAAAAATGCACTTTAATAAGAATACCTGCATCATAATGCACAGAACTCAAAGATTAAAGCTAAGATAAAGATTTACCTTGAAATGCTTAACCAAATCTTAGACTCATGGAAGCCCACATCTCCAAAATCATTAAAAAAACAAGCTTTTCTCCTCCAAAGCCACAAAACTCAAGAAATGAACATAAGGGAATTTCTTATCTTAAATATAAAAGCTAAAACACCCGCAAAAAGAAACAGAAATATAAAACAAAGAAACCCCACCAAGAAACAAAGATAAAACCTAAGAGAAAAAAGTCAGGCAAGGAGCTATTATAGCTCCAGGATCGTGATCTTGCTTTTTGGCACGCTGAGGATGAGAGAGAGTACTGCCAGCCTGATCAAATTCTCTCTCTCTATATATATATATATTTACTTTGTGTCTTTATCCACTATATAGTCTAACTCCGACTAGTGTAGTGTTTGTTTTAGGCCTTTGATATAATTGTGAAGAGATAGGGAAGAATTATGGTACAAGAACCCTGAAAGGGAGAAGAATCTTTCGCTCAACCCCCCAAAATTGGACATAGAATTAGAACACAGTGCACGCAACCCCTCATCAGAAATGTCGTTTGGCTCAGTAAGCAAAGCAGAGCAGAGCATGCATGAATAAATATTAAGTCATGTGCATATATACAAAGTCTATGGCCCTATTTGAACCTCGTTATTTTCTCATTAAAATGAAAAATATGATCGTTATTCATCACATTAAGTTATTATATTTGACTTTTTATCTTTTGTGTAGGGTCCATAACGATTATATTTTTCATTCTCATTTTTACAATAATGTAGCTCAAATAGGGACTATATATGCCTCGGAATTAGCACATTACCCACAAAAAACATTATTGAATCTTAAATCAAGGGACACGAAGTTAATCGATAATGGTCAACTTCTATGCCTTTGAACATCAAGATTAATGCACCTAATGAATAACGGTAACACTCGAACTCGTAATTTTTAGTCAAGTATGCATACGATCTTATAATGAGATTAACTCGAGAGCTTGATTTTTATATAATTAGTCCTTATTTGATTTTTTTTTAAAATTAAATGTTAGTAAATTTTTGTCTAAAGTTAATAAAAGTAGTGGATGCATAAAATGTGTTATTAAACTACCACATCTCCAATAATATAATACTAACAATTATTACAATTTGTTGACCTTCTTCATGTTAACATTCAAACTCTTGATTTGGACTTGTAGAGAGACAAAAAATAAAAATAAAAATAAAATAATAGAGGTGATGACTTCCAATAATTGGAGCCAAGTATGAATTATTGTAAAGCGAACACTCAGCGCATGTTTAGGAGTACTGAAGATTAGACTATATTGAATACTATTGAGAGATAAGAGAAAAATTAAAATCGTAATGAGTGACCAATTAAAATTATTTTTCAAGAACGTAGTAAATAGTTTTATATAAAAATGCTTCAATTTATTTACATTCCTAAAGGACTTATCATAATAAAAATCAAATATATACATTTAGTCCAATCAGTAGGTTTCTTGTTTCATTCAAGTCAACAACCTTAATGGAATTGCGCCTTAAAAGTGGCAAAGGATAGTATTAAATAATTGTTTCCCAAATTTGATGAATTCGCGATTGAAGTCAAGTACTTTATAGAGAAAAAAAGGTACTTATATCCGTGTATTTTCTTATTCTAGATTTTTGGTCAATGTTTGATGGGAAATTTGTGTTGCCCAGTTAATTTTTATTCTGTTACATTTTATTTTTAATTATATAATCTTTCATAAAATAATATTACACGTAAATTCAAAATTTTTTCTTTTTTTTTCGATCACCCATTTTTTGAAAAAAATAATATTCCACTCTATTTCATTGCCATAAAATGGGGACCAGACAGGGGTAAGTATATCATTTTGGCAAGACAATTAGTTCTCTTTTCTAAATTATAAGTGATAATTTTTCAAAATATACAAAGTCATTCTGTACTTCAAGAGCATACACTATGTAGGTTAGTGGTTGTATGATTCCCTTTTATTGGAGAGAAAATAAGTTTTGATTAGTATTTTAGAAGAATGTGTTATTAAAAAGTAAGAAAAAATTTGAGAGAATGCATAGAATATTTTATTGTGTGAATGTGTAGTTAGAAATGATTTTGTAGTAAATCATAAAATAAATTAATGGGAATCAAATATGCTCTTAATTGAATGAGATTAACTAGATCAACGAATAAATTCAAGGGTATGCATATCTTCTTTAATCATATCATTTTTTTGTTCAGTTAAGCCTTGTTTGTCACCCCTTAACAAAATAAATTGTTTGCTACAGTAACATACTAACATTTTGTACTACACATTCATACAATAAAATATTCTACACACAAATCAATAAAAAATTTTAAAATTTCAACCATACATTTCCAAAAACTACTATTCAAAACTATATATATTCTCCCAAAATGGGAGACAAACAAACTCTAAGTGTGTATCAAGTGCTATTTCAAATTTTCAAATACACATTCGAGCCTAATTGCTATCGAACTCTATAACGAGATAAATCAACACAAATAATCGAGCGCAATGAATGAACAACTGAATGCAGCTACAACCCTCACCATGGAAACACAATCTTTGTGTGCAAATTGTCATATTTCTCAACAATTTCTACGTGGAATACTGAGGAAAAGCTCAAACATTTCTAGAAAAATAAAAAGAGATAATAAGGGTTGGATTTTCTCATCTTCTAGTTAGTGTGATTTTCACTTCCAACCTTCAAAAATACAATTTTGGATCCTCGACCTATTTAAATACGTGAAATCACAAGACGATAACAATCAATGTCAAGGTTAAAATTCCCCGTAAAAATCACCTTAAATGTGTGAATTTGGATCTCCACATTAAATATTTTATTGTTCAATCCATCCACTTTTAACCCAGTGCACTCATAATGTCCACATTGACATTTTTATCGCATGAAAATTCATATTTACATATGTAAATTGGTCGAAGATTCAAATCCTCACTTCAGAAGGCACACTAATTAAAATGTTAGTGATCCTAACCTTAATTAATCCAAAACTAATCATAGAGAATTATTTTGGCAATTTTGTTTGGGGCTTATTTGCAATTACCAAAAGCTAATGAGTAATGAGAACGAATGCACGACGTAAGAAGATTTCGAACATGCGAGGGAGTTTTGGACTTTGTCGTCTGCCTGTCCTGTCCTCTCCTGGTTACTGGTTAGTGTCTATGAGACGCCACACTCCATAGCCCAACATCCCTAATGCACTGAAAGCCACGTGTCAAACTCCACGGATTTCATTTTTTAAATGTGTTAAATATCTGTGGGAAATCCCTATCAATCGTACGCGTCTGCAGAAGATCTCATCTATTTGATGGAAAGAGATCAACGGTTGTGATTTGATTGGTGAGAGTTTCGAAATAGAGGGGAGAAGAGCTCAATCAAAAGGACATTTTAAGAGGGTCGGATCGATTCGAGTCGGTTAGATCATACAAGAATGTCATCCCTCAATGTAAGGGAATAAATGTACCGGTAGCATTATTGTTAGCTCAAATAGATTATCTAATTCATTATTTGATTATTTTCTGTAATAATTTTAAGCTTTTAAACATTTGTATGTTAGTTGATTATATGAAATGTTTAAGTAAAAAATATGTTTTTAAGTCTTGATTATAATTTAAGCTCTGTCAAATATAATATATGGTTGTTTGAGAATAGATTGTAATTGGTGTTAAACTATAAATAAATAGAGGACCATGCTACACAAACATAATGGTTGACATGCGGAATGACCGAACACTTACACCTCGGAAGGTCAGGCATTATTTTATTCATACAGGGTCCACACTCCATGTGAGGGTCGGTCACCCATTTTCGGGCACGTCGGCATTATTCATAGATAGAAATATGCGGTGAATTGGTAATCTCATTTATGCATCTTAGAAATGTATATATAAAAAATACGTTAGATGATTATATTTATAAATTAAATAGGCGCCAAAGAAGCACAAGTGTGAAAAGAAATAAAAAATTCTACAATGTACAATTTACAACTCCACTCATTAGTGTCGTGTTAATAAGAAGACAACTTATATATAATTATAGCTCAAATCAAAATATGAGTGCATGTCAATTTCGTAAAAGATAATTATTAAGTAGGTAACTACGCATATTGCACTAAAACCAAGTCAATCCATAGTTTCTTTTCTCGAAAACGAACAAACCTACTTCAGAAATCGTGTTATATTCATTATCAATGCTGACTTTTCCTCATTAAACACGCACATTTACACCAATGAAGCATTGAACCTTGGTGATAGAAGACGCTTTTCGTTGTATAATTTTCTTCCTCAAATTTTTCACATATATATCTAGGGGAGTTAATCAAGGTCGGTCCCGTGATTATCAGGGCCCGAGACGAAGTCCAAAGATTAGGCCCCCCAAAATCAACGTAAATACAAAATTCAACGGTGTATTATAACGTATTGCTAACTTAAAATTTGACATTAAAATAACAAACAAATATTTTTATCATCTCACAATTAATGAAAAATTATTTTCCTTTTCCTTCTTCTAATATTGAGGGAAAAAAAATTTGGGCCAAAATAGGCCCTCATTGATTTTAGGCCTGAGGCACAAGCCTCATTTGCCTGGCCACGAGATTGGCCTGACGTTAACTTAGGCTATGATCGCTCCGTGGAATCTGCTCAGCCCACCACACGAGTCTACTTGCCCTTTGGTGGGACAAGTTGAGCTAGCTTGCATTGGTTAATTTTTTTTCTTGCAAAAAAATTGCATTTTCACGCGCTTATGAGCTACGACGATGTACGAACGTCTCATCCAATTCTCACCCCTACATAAATTTCAAGACGAAGTAGAGCCCCATATTTTAAATAAATAGATCCATCTTTTTAATTGATGTAACACTTGGGTGGAGTGGAGCCATCTCAAATGTTCAATCTTTCACTTTGTGCATTATCATCACCAAAAAGCCTTTTGCTTTTCTTCTCTTTTTCATGTTTTTTTCCTTGGACTCCACTCATTGCCTCCATCACTAATTCACCATCCTATAAAGATTAAAATAATTGCATATGCATTGTCTTCCTTATTGTTCTAGTTATGCCACTTGTTACCAAATGATAAGTATTGACACGATGATTTAAATAAAGACAAAATTGCTCGTGTTAATGAAAACGTGATTTCAGTTAATTTATATTTGACAAGTAGATAAGTCATACTCAATATTTTTATCTAAATATAGTTTACAACTTTTTTTGAAAAATCGCAATTTTGACCTTCAACGTTTGAAGTCGTTGGCACTAGGCTGGAACTAAGCTATTTTTTGGCATTTTTTACTCCCAATTTTATTTTTCCTGCTAAATAAACAAGGAAAATGATTCGTGGTAAAGACAAGATACACTTGGGTCGGAAAAACTCGTGCTCTGATTTTTCTTGATGGCTTCTATCGAAATTGTTTTCTTTAACACGTATTTTTGGATGGTTCTCAACTGATAAGACATATTCATCTCTAAAAATTGAAGCTTTGAGACCTGAAAGAAAAAAAATAAAAATAAAAATCCTTTCTCATGTCGTGTTTCTAATTTAAAGTGGG